AGACTCAGCATCTTTGTTTTGTCTATAACAATTTAATGACATTACTGTGCCCGCACTCCACTCACCTGGACGCTGGAGACACGTGATAAACTACTGACGCCATCCTTAACCACTTTAGCCCCCAGGCTTTTGTCAGGTTCCGCTCCAGAAGATAGACAATTCAGATAGGGTGTGGTGTTATTTTGCTATGAGACATTGTGAACAATGTAATGTTTGTGTCGATTGTCTTGTATATTACGACAGTGGATCGTCACACACCAAAAATCATTGTACATGGTACGAGGCTCATTTCCGTAATGGTCTAAAAATCACAGTTTTAGATGAAGATCTGAGTCAAGGTCAGTTAGCGCAGCTGCAAGAATTTCTAGATTTCTCCTAAAGCGGGACATGGGCTACACACCTGACCGCTTTTTCAACCTAAAGACCAGTAGACCAAGCCAATAAAATAACAGAAAAAAATGACCCAGATTCCAGTCCCTCAGGTCGGCAGCACACGCGCTCTCACATCCTTAACCCTCAGAGCCCCAAATGGTGAAATTTGACCTTAAGCATCTTAGGTCTCTGAAGCTCCAAGTGGTGACATTTAGCCTTAACCACCTTAGTCCCCAAGTGGTCATAGTTGGATTTAACTACTTTTAGGTGCCAGCGCGAGCGAGCACCCGGCGCATGGCGTCATCTCCAGGTGAGCAAAATGAGATTTATAAAAAACCGCTGACGCCAGCCTTAACCACCATTCACTTAGGGCTAGCCACTTAGGTTTAACTTGGTTTTAACCACTTAGGGTTTAATTAATTGGGTTTAAGCAGTTAGGGTTCGCTTAGGTTTAGTTTGGTTTACCCACTTAGGGTTTGCTTAGAGATACCCACTTAGGGGTGAGCAACGCCAGCCTTGGGTTTAGTTGGGTTTAACCACTTAGGGTTACAGCTCTTAGGGTTATAGCCACTGAGGGTTTAGCTCCTTAGGGTTATAAAACCACTGGAGAGCGCGCGAGCTGGACCTGGGCCGGGACCCCCGCTCTAGAACATTCCCCAGCGACCACGTCAGCCTGGGCCGGCCTGGGCACGTTCCACACACAAACCCCCCTCGGACCACGTCAGCCTGTACCGGCCTGGACACGTTCCACTCACAACCCCCCGCACGTTCTAGCACTTTCCACCCAAGCCCCCATATGGGGTCCGCGCCCATACCCACTCCTAGGGCTGACGTCAGCTCCACCAACCGGAAGTGACGTCACAGATTGCACCACATCGCCTCCGAAAATCGGAAGTTACGTCACAGCAAGTGGTGCGGTGGGTGATGACGTCACTATTCTTGAACTTTTATTGGCGGCCATCTTGAAAAGTGGGTGTGGGCGGGCTAATCTGGTGCCCTATATACTACTGGGAACTGTAACGGAATTTCGTTTTCTCGCACGTGATTGCGACAGACGGTCGATAAGACCATAAACAAAAGCCCTTTAAAAATTATGTTAAGGGCAACTTTGTTAGCTTTGTTAAATCTCTTCAATCCTCTTAACCGTGTTGGGTCGAGACTGTTAGGAGTTGTCTTTTAGGGGTATTAAAAATCTATATATTTCAGTCTAACACGCCGAAAAACTTAAAACTCTCCTTTCCCAGCCGACATTTCATTCTTTTCAAGTAATACATAGAGATTTCTATACAGCAGAAAAGATTTAATGACTAAGCGCTGCGCTGCCTTAAAAGCAGTGTACAAATGTTCAATAACGACAATAAAAGCGCCAACTTCATCAATCCAAAGAGAATCACAGCTGAGCTATGCTAATTTATCTTGAGGTCCAAGTCAAACGAGAGCGCGAGTCGACGCAGGAACTTTCTTTGAGCGTGTAGAGTCAATGAAAGTGCAGGAGAGTATAAAGGAAGAGCAACCATCCGCGGCGCTCGCTTTCTCGTTTGGCCTACAGGTAACACACCGCGTTGCAAAAAAATTCTCAGCTGTTTTTATGATATTTTCCCTCTTTTCTCGCTACAGCAGCCCCCCTTCAAAATGTTCAAGTAGTGAAATAGGAGTCTCTACTTTACGTAAGCGTTGTCTACATTACCTCCAGATTGTGTAGAACCTCGACGCTGTTCACATTGCACCCGCTTGTGGGACAAGTGCTCGGCTGCTCGCTCCAGAGACGATGATCTGGCTGGCAAATCAGACATAGGAAAATGGCCATATTAAGGTAATTCCTCTGAAATAAAAGTGACAATAGATTTTTGTTCAAACTTTGTCCACTGAATATTTGATATTCGCCGCACTGCGCTCTCCCCAGACCTCGGCGTAGACATTCAAGATGTTTCATCCTTCGTGATTCTCCAAGAAATCTCAACTCAAAATTCTATACTCTGAAGTCGTCAAAGTCAGCAATCACGTCATTTGGATGATTTCTCAGCTCTTCTTGGGCGACAGACCATGGATTTAGCCACTTGATAACCACAAGGAAACAAGGCGGTAGGAACTGCTATGGATACAACGGTATATGAGGGGTGGCGAATGGTCCTTCAAAAACTCTAGGTCTCGTAAAATTTTAGTCGAATTTCACGGGTCTCGCAGTCTCGGTTTTTAGCGGTTATGTGCGTCTCGCAGTCTCGATTTTTATTCGTCTCGATTTTTCGCAAAGCTAAGGGTTTCGAAGTCCCGATTCGTTCGTTAATGTTTTTATAAACATGGCTTCTTCTCTTCACTTGATATTGAATTTCAATGAAGTAACTTACAAATTTCCAAGAAAAAGTTAATCCTAACTTCTCCTAAATTGTCTGAATTCTACAAAAGCTACAAAACCTACCGCAACGTGTCTTGGCGCCAGAAAAACAGTTATTTTGCTCTAGGATTAATCATACTAGTAACGTAGTGTGTCATAGTCGATCGAATTTCCAGTTCCGGCCAGTTCGAAGAAGCTGGCTAAAACAAGGCTGTACAAGCTCATTGCATACCTCTCGACTAAATCTGGGACTCAAATTTTAAGGCCCAGATCAGACGTCGTGCTTCTGTCTTGCCGAACTAAATTCAGGAATTAAGACTTTCGACAGAAGCACGGCAGAAGCACGCGTCATGAATCAAACTTTTGAATTAAGTTCGGCAAGCTATTAATTAAAGTTCGACAAGCTCTGTCATGCGACACGACTCTGGCACGGCAGTGATTCAAACGTCGGGCTTTTGCGCGCTAAACAAAGTTCATAAATTTTATAAATGTATTTTACTGGCATTGCGTTCCCACGGGGAGTTTGAATTGTTACGAGGCATCAGTAGATCCTGAATTTGGTTCAACTCAGGCATGGCGTCTGAATCAGTTGTTTTCATGCCGTGCTACGTGAACAGTCTGAACTTAGGCCTAAGAGTCTGAACTTCTCGCGCTCGCACTTAAAACACTTTGAAATATCGGTCTCGCAATCTAAAAAGTCAAAATGGGCCCGAAGAAAACAACGCTTGTCTCGCCGTCTCGCATTTACATGTACCATTCGCCACCCTTTAAAATATATATAAGACCTTTTCCACGCACAACGGAACACAGCGGAAGTGTAGGACATTAAATGATGCGCGTTCCAGTTCGTTCAAGTATTGTTTTGTCGTCCAGTTCAGCTGCATTCCAGTGTGCGTGAAAGGGGTCTATTACCGTCTATATTCACGTAGGGGCCAAACCACCCCCCTAATGTTTCATGAAGGCTATATTTGCCTGGTTTATATATTTCTGAACCAAGTTTGGCAGATGAGCTTTCTTTGTTCTCCAGTTTATTTTAATTTGGAAGTTGTGACACAATGTCAGATTGTGACGTCATACTTGATGACGTCACCAAAACGTGCTATAATTTTTTGTAAAATCTGATGTAAAGATTATGTCATTGGAAAGGCCTTGACTTGAGGAGTAAAATGCTGGAAACCGTTTATTGCTATGATGAATATTTTTCGAGATATGGTAAATTAAATATTTTTTTACTGTCCCCCCGGAATTTGATTAACCATACTGTCCTTCTTAAGTCAGTCTCTCTGGTTTATTTTTTTTCAGTATTTTTCTAGGAAGGCTAATAATCTAGAAAACTATAGAAAGCTTGATGTTGTCAAAAATCATTTGGTTTTAGAAATTTGATTTTCAGCTTTGTTAAGAAGGTATTAACAGTAAAAAAACGGGTTAATATGCATATTAAAAACTTCAAAAGTGACAAAAAACATGACATCATCACTGTGACATCACAACTTTGACATTTACTGACATTTTTGACGTAAATATAATTGGCAATAGGTCTCCTGCTCATCTGCCAAGTTTGGTGTAGAAAGAGTCAATACTTTTTAAGTAATGCGAAATAATGTGAAATATCCAAGAACTGACGAAACATTAATGGGGGGTGGTTTGGCCCCTACGTGATTGCCATTTATATTGACTGTGTCCATCAGGATACCTTAATTTGCCACTTCACAGTGTCTTCATTGGTTGGCGTTCTTTGTAGGAGGATTAGAAAAAAGTACATCCAATACATGTAATATTCTTAAACTCAAAATCAATACTATTTTTAATATGCCACTGGTAATCATTTTAAGGTAGTACTGATCACCAGTGTGGATATAAATTAATGTTCTTTGTTTAAGTGTCTTAAAATATGATCTCTTTGTAAATGTGGAGTATATATGGGGCTGCATGGTTGTCTTGGGTTCTTTGTGCTTATAGGTATGATCACTAAGGGCACAAGGCTGCTGCCAAGCAAATAACATTTGAAAACTTTCAACAGTCACAAGCTGTTATCACAAATTGAACAAGGACTTGCAAAGTTAACGTTTTTTTTCTTTTATTTGTAGTTTGCTCACCAATATTTGGAGAAATTTGTCATTCCAAATCATACTGGCAAAGTTTCTTTGAGAGGATCCGAATCCAAATTTCGGATTTTGTTTCTTTACCTGAATTATATTATTAATTATAAAATGATTCTGAATCCTTTGAATGCATACCCAAGCTGGATTCAATGGACTCCAGATATGTGGGATTTAAAATTTTGGGCAGTTTTGTTAAAGATACATTCTAACAAGTATTGTTTGGCTTATAATTGTGCTGGTGCTGGTGGTGTATTGGTTGTGAATATATTCAGAGCTTTGTTGGTTTATGAGATTCTGTCTGTCTGAGCCAAGCTGTGAATCTGGATTTGGATTCTCCCAAAGAAAACAGCAGCCCAACAGTATTTAACATGCATAGCTGAAGTGATTTCACTGGACTTTGTGGTATTAGACCATGGATTAACAGGCCTGTATAAGCAATGTTGACCAGCCTGCCTGAGATCTGTGAATAGATTTAGAAGATGTATTAGTACATACACTCGACCACAACTCTGGGGACTACATCTCTTGCTCTTAGTAAACAGCAATGTGGATTCTTTAACCTCTCCTTGAATTGCACACGAGGAAATGAGGCCAACAGCTTACCATCACCACCAATGACGTGATAATCAGAACTGAGACATGGTGTTGCAAATCACAGGCAGAATGATCTTATCACTTACTTTAAGAAACCCTGGTTATGAGTGATCAATCTAGCCAGTTTCAAACCCACAACATCCTGCTTAGAGCAGACCAGTGCTCTGCCAATTAAATGTCAATATTTTTCCAAGTGGAGCACTTGTAATGATCTTTACTGGAGACACTCATAAGATTGAGTTGCAGTTTTTGACAAGAGGGCAAAATGCAATAACCCAGAGAACTAACAAATATTGCAAGTCAAATATTATTATTATGCTGGGTCCAGGAATCAAACCTGGGACACATTTTTTGGAGGCACGAGTTCCATTATCTTCACACATGGCGAGCATAAGGCAAAACAGGGTGCAATTTGTTAGCCATAAGTAACCTTGCCAAGGTTGTCATGCTAGTATAATATTATAAGTGCTGTAAACCAGTGAATTTACGTACATGTGTATCTGTAAATATTAATGCATGCATGCAATATCAGTTTGCAAAGCAAAGAAAACCGCTCTAAAAAATACCTTATAAATATTTGATATGTGCGTTCATGATTGAGTACTTTTAGGAAGCCATTATGTGCACAAATGAAATGACAAAACATTGAAAATTCAGTCACTAGAATATGATATAATTCTATACGCAATGACTAGAAAAAAACCACAAAGTTTCAAGCATGATGGGGGTCTTTTCAAACCTGGTGGCTTTCTGTAGTCTTTTCAGGGCATGCTGGCTTAAAAGCCCTGGGGAGAACACTTGATCATCGATCATTTATATAATTATTATTTGAATTTAATTCTATTGAATCACTGACAGCGTACTTTTTTTTTATTAGAGCAGTACTGATCATGGTACTACTTACAATACTACAGCTACTACAAATACTAAACATTACTTACTACCACATTCAACTTACTAATTATTAATACTAATAACTTACTAATAACTAATTATTAATTATTAACTGTATACTTCATTACTTACAAATTATTGTTACATAACTTACAAGCATATACTTATACATACATATACTTACTAGCTTCAACATATGTACTGTTCAATATACTTATATGTTAAAATACAATTGCGAAGGCAATAGAGAGTTACAAAGAAAGCGATACAATAAATAGTTAGAATACAGTATGTAATTGTTTACAAAGAACAAACTGTCCCCCATTTTTCAATAAATTGATCTAAAGTTTTGTTCTTTGTGCAGATATATTTTTCCATTTCAAATTTAATTTTGATCTTTATCTTAAACCTAGCTAAGCCTGGAAGTGTTTGAAATATTCTGCAATCCCATAATAGTTTGGCTATCAATAGAGATAATGAGACCCTTGAGCAAAGCATAGCTACTGCTACTATAATTTTCTACCAGTGAGAAACCAATTATTGCTCTGCATTTTGTTGTGCATAGGCCATGCTAGGCTAGGCGTATAGTGCCCAATTTGGAGCTATATCTGGATATTTATTTGTTGGCAGTACATTTTAAACCAGGAATCACAATACAGTTGTTTTGAAGCTTGCATGGTGTAAGTTTCTAAGTGATTTTCTAACCTCCAAATTAAATCTCTGATCTATTTGTTTCTCTTTGTTTACCAGAAACTCAGACCCAATATATGCTACTAACAAAGTACTCTCATAAGCCTTCCACAAGCAGTGAGAAGTACTATGTCTTAAAATGCTTGCTGCTGAGGACAACAGATGGATGGTGGTTGGCATTTGCCTTTCAAAAGTTCTCACGCCGGTGATGAGGGCAGTTTTGGAACATGAAATGCAGCAGCTTTACCAGAACCTAATTCTGCCACCAATCAACATCCATTCACAAACATTTGCTTGTCATTTAAATTGTCTTTATCCTTCAACACTGGCTCTAAATTATGGCAGCATTAACAATAATAAACATCAAGCATCATCCAAAAGTTATGATTACAGTGTGAAAGATGATGTCTCTCTTGCTAAACTCTTTGTCAAACCGATCATGTCTAGCTTCACTGGTTTCGATGAATCTCTGGACTTGTCAGCAGCTCTTTCCATTTTGTGTGGGGCACCAAACTTTGTCTTCCAAGCTGTTGACATTATCGCATCAGAAGTGCGCTCTAAGGTTCGTAATGAATGGGGCCATTGCAAATCTTCTACATGGACAGAAGCTTACTATTTGGACTGTTTTCAATTAATGAAAAACCTGATTAAAAGACTGAATCTCCCAGCAACTTTAGATCAGGCAAACATTTTGGAAGAACTTGAAACATGGAGAAAAACAGGTGAGAAGACATCGATTTCTGTCCCCTTGCATTTAAGTTTCAAACACCATTGTGGGAAATTGAGCAGTGAAACATCTTTTCACCATTAAAGATCTGTACATTATTCATCATGGGGCCCACATGTAAGATTAAGGATAGATGAATTTTTTACTCATTTGTCTAATGCAATGGAGTCACTTTGAGATGTAGATCGTGACATTTTGACTGCTATACTGCTAGTCTTCATCAGGTGATGAGGTCAATTGTTGCGTGTCCCATTTGGGACAAAGTTGAGTTTATTGATCGTGACCCTCACTGGTACACACAAAGGGTCAAGGAAGCTATCCGTATAAGACTTCATCCAAATAACATCAATAGAGATAGTGGAATCAAAATTCCTGAAGCATGGATACCTACAATCAGAAAGCACAACAGGCGGTCAGTTAGAATGCAGACCTATGAGGGAACAGCGTCACAAAGTCGGAATAATAAT